CATTCTAAAAAAGCTGTAGTTACAAAAAAATAAAATTTTATACCAAAAATATACTTATAAAGTGAAAGAATTTCAAACGAAATAGTAAAACGAAATTCAAGGCAGCGCAAACGAGCGAAAGAAGCAGATTTTTGCAGGTAACCCAGAAGAAAGTATAACGAAATTGCAGTTTTTTATTTTTATTTGTTTTTGCTCTTCAAAGCAGAGAAATAAATTTAGATATAAAAAAAAAATAATCTTTTTTTCTTGCTTATTTCGCAAGGCTGATCGTACGTGCAGCGAGGTTACGCACACATTCAAGGATTTGCTTGTACAACAGTTTGTACTATAACTGCGCGCTGGAGCGCGTGGTGGCACGTGGCGTATGAGTAACGCGACCTTCAAACGCTACAAAACAAAAGTAAGCCCGAAGGAGCTGTTAACCAAAGACCCAAAAAGAAGAAAGAAATCTGCATTGGATCATCAAAAAAACAGAGCACATTTTCTACGCAGTTTAACAAGTAAAACGCAAGCACACGCCTGCCTCCTCTCAACAGCAACGCATACATAGAAGGAGCATTACAGAGGAGGTTGGGTCAGTCGTGACTAGGCTAAGAAGAAGCGAGAAAGCGAAGCGATTGCACACGCAAACAAGGAAGATCCAACTTTCACGAGCCAAAAGACTGAGTTACTACTGGTTTTTAGTAGCGAAAAAATCTTAAAAAGAAGAAAAGAAGGGCCACCGAAAAAAAGGACGATCAGCAGCAGAAGCAGCAGAGCAGCAAGGAAAACCAACAGAAAGAAAGATAGAAAGCAACGAAGAAATTTTGCCTTAACGAAATTATTGCGGTTGCCTATTAGCAGAGAGAAAAGCGCTGCGAGCAAGCATTAGCAGGAATTTGTCGTAAAAAGGCAAGAGGTTTGTTTCCAAGTGAAAGAAAAGCAAGAACGGTTTTTTTGCTGCCTCGAAGTTGGCAGAAAAATTAAAAAAAAAAAAACGGTTTAAGATATACTCTGCTTGAGTAGCACAGGCAAGCTAGCAGTGGAAAGCAAATATGAGTTCAAGCTGCGAAGCAACAACCTGGGTAACAAAAGTAATCAGCAAAGCAAGTGGTTACACATAGAGCGTGAGGCGGCAGGCAGGGGAGGGGAGGGGATACTTACAAACAACAAAACGATAGTCTAAAAATCGCTGCTATTGTCACCGTTCTTCGTTTATTCTTTGCTTGTTTTTGTCGCGTACACTTTGTCATCGGATTCGAAGCAACGCGTGAATGCTGGCTTGACAACGCCGGCTGCGACAGCACAGCGGATAAGTCATCGTTTTGTAGTTTATGCATGCGAAAAAAAAATAAGCTAAAACCGCTGTCTTCCGCCTGCTGCTCTACTCAATAGCAACAATAAAAAAACGCAAGCAACATAATTTGCACGCGCTTGAACTGTACATTAGCAACAAAATTTTTTAGTAAGAAAAAAAAGTTACTAGAAAGTTCAGCTATAAAAGATTTAAAACTAAAGACAGCTCGCAGAAAAATTAAAAACCCACAAAAAAAAACAAAACGCTGCGCGAGGTCAGCCGGTGGTCAGCGCATTGGACTCGTTCGTTGGCCGCTGACTTTATGGACTCGCGAGCACTTTGACAGCTGTGCGAAAGCCAGTTTATCGCAAATTTAAATTTCTAAAAAAAAAAAAAATTCGTTTTTTTGCCTTTGCTGTTGCTACTGAAATTGTTAAAAGCCTTACTAATGCTAAATACATACATATGTAGATTTTTCTAGAATTTCTAGTTTTTCGTGTTGTACCAGAACGGCGCTGCTGCATATCATTTTTGTTTATCGCAACTTAAATTTTGGTTAGGTGTTTCTGCGAATGCCGGAAATGGCAGGAATGCAAGCGATTAGTCAGAGGTTTTGTTTTTTGAACATTGAAATTTGCAGAGTAGGTTATATGTTGAAATTTGATATTTTAGAGCCATGAGCGGCTTGCGAAAAAACATGAAAGGTTTTGCCACTTTAAAAAGAGGCTACCCAGAGATTTATTTTTTAGAAGCTCTAGCCTACATTTTTCGTACTGTAAAAACGTCATGCGTTAACGAAGAGTCTTTGGGCATTGTATGCATTTTTTGATGTCATTGTATCATAAAGAATTTTTACTTTTTTCATTAAACAGAGTATATGGCGTGTTTAACGCTTCGGCGTAAACATGGCTAAAAGTATGAATAAAGTTTCAGCTGATTCAACAAAGAAGTATAATATAGGCATACTCAAATAAACAAACATCTAAATTTGCGCACCTGAAAATATTTAATGGCATATTTTGATTAATGTCGAATATTTGTTTATACATACCTATCTACATATGTATGTACATTAGGGTGGAGTAATTAATTACGAAAAAATATGGCACTTTCGAATTCTACGTTCGATTCTAAGCAAAAATGGTGAACAAACTATATGCCAAAAATAGCGTTTGACCCTCGCAATTTTTAAAAGAAAAATCAGTGTATTGTATTTTTTTCTGAACGAAATTAATTTTTCATTTACAAAATTTTGCGGTTTTTTCATATTTAAGAAACTACTTCGCAAAACCGAGAAATATACAGTTTTTTGGTACAATGAAAAATAAAGTTCGACCAAAAAAGTTACAATAGACTGCTTTTTCTTTTGAAAAATGGAAGGCTCAAACATCATTTTTGGTATATAGTTTATTCGCCAATCGGAGAATTTGAATTTGCTATACACTTTCTTCGAAAAATTTTGATCCGAACAAATCACTCCGCCCTAATATATATACATGCCGATTTTCACTAGGCACTGAAATGAGTAAACATCTAGTGCCATTTAAAAAATTTCATGTCACGACTATTTCACGACTATTTCGAGACTAGTTCAGGTCCATTACAAGACTGGTGCAGCCCTATTTCGAGACTACTTTGTGATCACTTTAGGACTAGTGAGTGACCATTTCGTGGCCGTTTTAAAACTTGTTCGAGATAATTTTAGGACAAGTTTACTACTTTTTCAGAACTACTGCAGTACAACTTCAGGACAATTTAGTTCGGAATAATTTTGAGGTAGTTTGAAATTAATCTGAAATTTCCCTGAACTATGCCCGAACTGATTATAAAAAAGTCGTGTGCTGGTCCAGACAAAATTAATTAAATGAAATGAAATTAATGTTTAATTTCGAACCTAACCTATTTTTTATTGGAAAGGTGGTGCCTCTAGGGTGGTCCCATACTAATTTGGCTTAGTTCTGATCATTGGATCATGCAGAAATTAACGGAAATTAAATCTTTATTTGAGCAGTGAAGTCGGTTGTGCTTTTTGCTTAAAAATGAGTTTTTTTTTGTAAGTAAGTTTCTCATTTTCTAACTTTTCTTGTCCATACTTTTTTTTACAAATAATCGAAATTTTATATATTTTTTTAATAAGGCATATAATATTAATGTGCCTTTCAAAATTTCGTAAAAAAATAGGCTTCGCAGATAAAAAAATACTTTTATAACATTTTTTTATTACAATTTGAAACATACATTATTGACTCCAGTTTGTATTAAAGGTTTTCATTTTTTTATTATGCCGAATTTCCACTAGGCATTGAAATGACGAAAAAGTTGTACCATTTAAAAAATGTCATGTGGAAACGAATTGAATGCCAATTTTTCTTACCGTAATGACACAGATATTTCTAATGCCCAACTTTGTCATTATAATTTGTGCCTAATGGAAATACGGCATTACAAAAAACTCACTAATTTTCTCTTATTTATAAAAAACAAAGAATTTTTTATGTCTCTATATGCGAAGAAATTTTACGTTAGGTTGGGTCAGTTGCGTTGTCACCAAATCGATTTTCACTTAAATGGTAACTGCAGGTAATACATATGAAGTTGCTAGATAAAGCGCTGGGTGCTAAAAAATAAAGTTCCGCCGGCAGCTAACTATTTTCGACATTAAGTTGCACCGGATGGGCTCCTTATGGACAGTGCTAGGGCATACCTCCTGTCAGAGCGGATAGTTGAGGCATGCCCAGCTGTAGAAACTGCTTTGACTGCCAGCAGGCGGCTAACGGCCAGTAGGAATCTTCATTTTGGTGTGTCGTGATTTTCGTTCAGCGTTCGCTAAGTTGAATAAAAGCCTATCTGTGCAGGAACGTTCCACAGGTTGCCACAGGAGCTTCTGTACCTTACCTGTAAGGGGACCTCAGGTATGCACTCTCAAGAAAATTTCCTGGGACAGGAGACAGAGTATTGGCCTAGAAAACTTGAACTCAGTTAGTAACTAGTAGCTTTTCATGCCCGTTTGGGTGTAAAGAGGAAAAATTAGTTAGTCTCTTTATAGGAAATGCTCGAACATTAAATACACATAAAAACCTTAGATTAGAGATCAAGCGAATTTTAGTAGTAGTATTTTTTGCAGTTAAGGAACCGGTACTGCACACAGCTAAATAAATATGTGTTTGTATACACATAAATTTATTAAATAAATCAAATAGTAAAAGCACAGTGAAGAAGAAAACAAATTAAACACAAAAAGTTGCAAATGAATTCATTTTGGCATGTCAAACACTTTTTGCTTCGAAGTCTATGAAAAAATTACGCCGAATTTATTTTCTAGCTATGCATTATTTTTAAGTATGTTTTGGCATTGATATACTTTGTTAAATTTTTTTTTTAATTTTTTAGAGTTTTGCATATAAGCGATTTTTTTTGTCATAAATAAGCTTGTACATATGTAATCTACTTTAATCAGGAACTGCGTGTTTTCGTTTAAATTTATGTTTTGTTTTAATTTTTTCTTTTATTTTTGTTCCTTTTTTGATTTTATTTTTTCATTGGCTCGCAGCCAAAAACGCAGTGCGCTATGAAAAGCCGCAAAAGCAACATGTTGGCTATGTTTTTTGACTGTACTTACACACATCCATACATACATTTGTACACACGTAACATTTCATTTCTTTTGTCTACATTGGAGTATAAGTATTTGTGAGCTCTTTGTGAGATTTTGTTTATGTATGTGTGTAGTAGCAGCACGTCATCTCCGGCGACAGCCGACGCCGGTATTTAGGCATGTGCGCCTGCCACTCAGTCTATACGTAAAGTTAAGGATTACTTTTTTTTTGAACTTTTCATGAGGTTTGTTTATAAAATATCCAAAAAAAAGCCAAACTATTTTAGTGATGACATTGAAAATTGAAAATCACGAAAAATCATATCTGGAAAAGTATCAAAATATTTAAGCAATTATGCATGTATGTAAATATACTATATACTTAAAATTTTCCAAAACATTTCTTAAAACTTTTTTGTTTTTTTAATGAGCTCTTAAAATTTTTCGTCACGTGAAGTCACTACGACTAAAAAGAACTTAACTGAAAACCACTGAAATTATCTAAAAGTATTTAATTGATAAAATATTTGCTAAATATACATGCACAGGTATTTACATACATTTGTATCCGCTGCACTTTCCTTGCATCTGTTATATATGCTTAAATTTTGTATATACA